CAGAGATCGCCGCGCCTGCCGCGCCTGCCGCCGGGCGCTCGCCGAATGCGCCCCGCCCGCGCCGCCGAGCGCGGCCGCCTCGCCGGGGAGGGGAAAGCGGGGCGGCGCGGGGTCACCGCTCCGATGCGCAGGGCGGGGAAAGCGGCCCCCCCGAAGCGCGGGATCCAAGCCCCCCGCCCGCTGCCCGCCCCCGAGCCGGCCGGGCTTCTCCCTCCCTCCCTCCCTCCCTCCCTCCCTCCCTCCCTCCGCCGGGGCGCTCCGCAGCTCTCCGCCCTCGCCGCCCGCGCCGCTGCAGGTGGCCCTCTTTGCGCGGAGGGGAGGAGAGCCGCGGCGGGGTTGGGGTGCAGCCCGAGGCTGGAGGGATCGCGAGGGGGGAGGAGAAAGGGGAGGGGGGGCGGCGGCGGCGGGTGGACCGGGAGCTCCGGCAAAGGCGGCTAGCAGGGAGCGGGGCGGGCGGTGGACGCAGAACGCGAGGGCTGCCTGAGGAGGGAGCGGGAGGGGAGGGGAGGGGCAGAGCTGGGGCGGGGGGCCCCCCCGCGTGTCCTGGGCACGAGTGGACGCTCTGCCGGGGGAGGGGGGAAAGGGGCAGCCCGGCTTGAGCCTGGCCGTCCTCTGCAGAGAGCCCCCCGCTGCCCGCCACAGCCGGTCGGACTTGAAGGCACTGCCAAGGGTGCAGCAGGGATAAAACCGCCTCGGCGTCAGGCACCCGGGAAAGGTCGCGCACTGGCTCCGAACCGGAATGCGCCTGGCCCTCTGCTCCAGAGAGTCACCGCCACCATTAGCTGCCGTGACTGCGAGGACGTTGTTGTGGTTCCATTGCACGAATAGCTCCCCATTTTTCTGCTCCTGGGGAACCCAGCGTGGCTGATAGAGCTCCCCTGCACTCCATTTTCACCCTCACAAGAACAGCCCTGTGAGGACAGCTGGGCTGAGAGGCCACAGCAGGCCCAAAGTCACCCAGAGAGCGCCATGGCTGAGCGGGGACTCAAACCCGTATCTCCCAGGTCCCCCATCCAGCATTCCCACATGGACTCGGGCACAAGGATTTGCAGACAGCAGAGCAAAAAGCACAGCCTGTGGAGTCACCTGACTGTTGGGATCAGGCAACGCGGGAATCTGTGAGTGTACGAGACCCTCAGATCCCTGTGAATGTTGACCATGGTAATGCATTTAATTAGTTCCTATATATAATTTATTGTACAGTCACAGACTGTGTAAAACTCAGTTTAAAACATACAGGATCAATGAAACAGAATGCATAACAACTTTGCAGCAACAGCTCGGCAGAGATGTCCGTCCCGTTGCTCCTGGCCGCTCGACGGAGGGGGACACTTTTGCATTCCGTGCCCAGGGCCCTGGCGGCAAAACTCCCGCCTCTCCGGCTGGCCCAGGCCGTGCGCTGCCCTTTCCCTCCCCAGGGGCCTGCGTGGATGCGCAGCCAGGTTGTCCTTTGGCAGCAGAGGGATAGGAAGCCGAGCCGCAACGGTGAACCACTGGAAAGGCTGAGATCACCACAACATTCCCCAGCTGAATCCCGTTTCATTTCCTATTGATCGGCGGCTCTTTCCACACATAAACGATCAGCTGCACTTTCAGACACATCCATTCCGCTCTCCCCCAGGCAGCGGGGTGACAAGGAAATGTCCTCCACTGTCACGAGCTCAGACCTGAGGCCTGAGGCCTGGAGTGGAAGGATCGGTGGTAAGCAGAGGGCGAGCAGAATTAAAATCTGCTGGGGAACGCTTGCTCGTGCCAGCCTCAAGGCAGTCGGCCGAGCTGCTTGCGGAGGAAAGGTCAGCAGGGCGAGCACCAGCACCTCGGGAAAGCTTGGGCCTTGGACTCGCCTGCCCATGATGGGCATGCAGACTCCTGGGGCAACATTCCGCCGGAAGAGGGCCTTCTCTAGGCAGCATGTGTCTTGCCCAAGGTCTGGGGTAACAAAATTACCTCAGAGGCAGAGAATGCTAAGTTGCGTCTCGGGGCGGGACGCTGCCCATGATGTGGCTCATGGTATTTGATCCAGAGAAACGGCAGATGGGTCCCACAAGAAAAATGGTGTGGCTGATCTCCAGCCACGAATAGGCATGCAGCTTGAGGCCGGCCGGCCACACCAGCAGCGTCTGCTTCCTCCCAGTGCCTGTGCAGAGGGAAACCACACCTGTGGGGTGGCTCTTTCCCTGCCCCCCACCTCACTTAATACCCCTCCCCAAGGCCTATAAACTGTTACATCTGGGCAAGTGTGGATGTGCCCATGGGGAAGGAATGCGCCATGCTCTGCAGCCGGAGGAGGCTGCAGCGAATGCAGAGAGTTCACAGGGGTCTCTCCTCACTGGAGAACAGGTATCACTGCATACCTGGCCTTGCCTGTATGGGTGGGCCCAGCAGGGCTCCTGTAGCCAAGAACACGTGTGGCAAACAGGTGGCTCATCTTTGAAATCGTTCGGTAACAAAAGTTGTGGAGGAGTGGGCGAGGGAAGGAGCCAAAAGGGTACGTTTCTTTCCCAGCTCGAGAGCCATAATTCCAAGATGGCTATTCTGGCACTTTGCTCTTGAAAGCTTTCGCCACCAGCGCTAAATTAAAAGGCGCTTTAGACGGAGCATGGAGAAAGGCCGGGCGGGCACTGCTAAGTGGCTGGTGGGTGGAAGTCTATAAATACCCTTGCATGCCAAAATTTTGACAGAACCCACCCCATTCGCCTTGTTGGAAACAAAAGGACAGCAGGAGATTATTCCTCCCCTCCCAGAATCCTTCCGTGCAAATTTGTCCTGCTGACGTAGTCAAAAGTGCCTGTCACTATGGCAACGGTGCAGTGTCCCACATTCTCCAAATGTGCCCTGAGAACAGAAAATTGCAGTGAAAGCAGGAAACCGAGCCCGAGGGCCTTGCCTGGCGGAGCTTCTCCGCTCTGCCGCAGGCCAGGCGGCCCACCAGGCCGGGAGGGGGCAAGGCGGGGTTCCAAAATCAAACTGGCTCCTCCAGTTAGCCAGGGAGCCGCTTGGCCCTCGCCTAGACCAGATGCCAGTGAAAAGCAGCACGCGCGTGCGCGCACACACACACACACACCCCCCCACACCCCGCTCGTACTCTTAGCCTTCCATCACTCCTCCGAGTGGGCCCGCAGGGGCAGAAATAGCCACAGTCCAGTGACAGGATCTTCTGTCCCTTCTGCAATGACCGCTTCGCTTGCTCTTTGTGAAAATCTGGAGGTGCATCCTTAACAGGCTGCATGTCCGTCCGTCTGTCTGTCTGGTGAAGCAGCCCTGGACACACTCTGCAGGGGCTCCTCAGGGATGCCTGTTCGGGGTGCTCCCGAAGGGCGCACAGGTGGCTCTGGGGGCTCAGCATGCCCACTAGGGTCCTGCCTGGATGGAGGGGGCCTCGTGTCTGTCTGTCTTTCCGCAGCAAAGGGCTGCCTTAAATTACAAGCAAAGGGCTGCCTTAAAATGCCCTGGAAATTCAGGTTCGTCCACAGCACTGCGCTCGCTCGTTCTTCAGCAGAAATGGCTGGCTGGGTCTCTCCCAGCGCTCAGAGGCCTGGGCTCGGTGCACAGAAGACGCGCCTCCCCCACATTCCTTCCCGGACCATGAGATCCTCAGCTGACGCCTTTCTCCTGGCACTGCACTGGGTGGGACAGCCCAGAGGGCCTTTCCCACCGGGGCACCATGGCGTGGAAGAGCGTGGCTGGCCGGCCCCACGTGGCACCCGGTGAAGGCCTGTTTGTGCTCCCAGCCTTACAAGAAGCGTCTCAAGAGCTTTTAGCATTTTATTCTACTGTTGGTCTTAATTAGGTTTGATGTGCTGAATGATTTCAACCTTTGCTGCTAATTGGATCTTGGTTTCTTCTGTGCCGTCTTCACCATTTGCTGTAATGGTTGTATTTTATGTTTTTGATCTGGCGTATACCACCCAGAGAGCTTTGGCGACTGAGTAGCTTAAAAGTATGTGTTTGGGGAGAAAGGAAGGGCGAAGCAGCCCTTCCAAGCTACTCAGGGCTGGCAACATCCCTTTGCTGGCAGGTGCACCTCCCTGCTGAGTATCGCGAATGCCCTGGTGCTGCCCTGGAAGGCCTGGACTTCCCCACAGCATGCGCCTTGGTCTCTGGAATGGCCCATGTGCAGAGTGGCTCGCCCTCTTCCCTACCCCAAGTGGCGGTGCTGGTGCTGCTGTTCCCTTGGCCTGGCAGGGACGGAGGTCCCCTCGCCTGCATCCGTGTCCTTGCTGCGGTGTGGGCTTTTTTTTTTTTTTTTTTTTTTTTGTGGGATGGGGAACAGCTCTCAGCACGGGCTGCTTGGAGCGTGGGGTCCCCAAGCGCCTTCACGAGGCCACCCTCGGCTTTCCCGCGCGGGTGAGGTGCCTCCTGCCCGGCTGCTGCGTGAACTGCACAGGACCCATCGAGAAGAGCCGCTGCGTCCCGGACTGGGGACGCTGTGCGGTTGGGACGTTCTGTGCATGCTCAGAAGCACTCCGACTTGCCCGCGGACTGCGGGGAGGGCGGGGCGGAGAGGGGGACGCTGGGAACTCTGTTCCTGCCCCGTCGTCGTCTGCGCGGGGCACCCGAGCCCGCGCGCGCCGACGGGAGCTCCGAGCCCGGCGAAGGGCGCGCAGGGCCCGCCCCACGGCGCCGCGCCGCGCCGCGCCCCGCTCCGCCCCGCGGCCGGGGCATATAAGCGCGGCCGGGCAGCCCCACGGGAGCAGCAGGCGACGCGATGGGCCCGGGCGCGCTCCTCGCGGTCGCCGCCGCGCTCTTGCTGCCGCTGCTGCTCCCGCTCCCGGAGGCAGTGCGCTG